ACTTTTCAAACATCCCTTGTATATTGTGTTTTATATTAAAGACTAGATTATTATAAGAACTTTGTTATTTTGGTGAAATAGATAATTTAGTATGGTTCTGAAACAGAGGGGGCCAGAAAAATCGATGGTGCACTTCTATAATATATATTAGCTGGGGTAATAATGAAAATAAATAGGAAAAGGGAAGTAAAAATGTTTTTGACAAAATATTAAAAAAAATTTCCTTTGAATCATTGATTGGATCAACAAGTTGATTAAACGGAGACAGCTCAGGATGCTGTAGTCTGAAATATATGAATCTAATTTATCTCCAAGACTCTGAAGTCTAATAATTTAATTTCTCAGAAATGTTTCTGATCCTTGTATAGCTAGAACTGCTAATAATTTAGGGTCTTCATTTCTTCTTTTATATAACATAACGTTTCCAAAGATTTTGTTACTCTAATTACAATCTAACTACTGCCTTTTTCCTTGTACTGTTATCCATATTGTTGTTCTTTTATGTATCATATCTCTTCAGGATCTGAGTGATCATGGTTCTCCACAACTTCTTGTCTTTTTTCACTTCACCATCTCTCTTTGTCCTTGTTCTGCCATCTATATGCTTCTTCTTTTATGTACCATTTCTCTTCAGGATCCAAATGATCATGGCTCTCCACAACTTCTTATCCTTTAACACTTCACCATCCCTCTTTGTTCTTGTTCAGCGATCTATATGATTCTTCTTCTTTTATGTACCATATCTCTTCAGGATCTGAGTGATCATGGCCCTCCACTACTTCTTGTATTTTTACACTTGACTATCCCTCTTTTTTCTTGTTCTGTCATCCATATGATTATTCTTTTACGTGATATGTCTCTTCAGGATCATGGTCTTCCACAACTTCTTTTCTTTTCACACTTTACCACCCCTCCTTGTCCATTTTCTGTCACTCCTATGCTATTGTTTCTTTTATGTGCTATATCTCTTCATGAACTGAGTGATCACGACACTCCACAACTTCTTATCAAAGTAACTTTTAACTCTTTGTCCTTGTTCTGCCATCCAGTCACACAAACTTGTTAAAGAGATTGTTTATTGTTTCCCCTTCATTCGCTTTTAATATATCCTGTGAGCACTAAATTCATCAAGCACCCTTTTCTCTTTCATTTGCCAGAAATTCCATGTTTCTTTCTGTTTGTTAATAGAAGTTTTCCTGTAGTTTCTGATTTCCTAAAACTTCCTCATATACTTACATCTTTTATCGATGGTATTCTCAGCATCTCTCTGTAGAACCACATTTCTATCAACTCAAGTTTCTACTTAATCTCTGAGGAGATTGTCCAACATTTACTGCCATATAGGGGACTGATATTACATAACAGGTCAATAATCTTTTCTTTGTTTCTAATGAAATTTTCCTGTTTTTTAATACATTGCTTAGCTTTTTTAAGCATTTTCACTATCCCAAAGCACTTTTGGGTTCAATGTCACTTTTTCTGTCCAATGTTATAATACTGTGACAACAAAATTTCAAAGAAAATTGAAAGGAAAAAGACACTTATAGATAGCATCAATAAGAAAAGAAGGCTTGGAAAATTTGACACTCAGATTGGAGGCAAGAGGGACAGATGAAAGCAGTGCATAAACTACCTAGCTTGTGTAAATGGTTGAAAGAACAAGGATTAGGAGAGATAGTGGAAAGACAAAATTTACAAAGAGCTACAAAGGATAGGAAATTGTGGCAAGCCCATGATTGCCCATACCCTGAAGGGACACAGCACATAGAAGAAGAAGAAGAAGAAGAAGAAGAAGAAGAAGAAGAAGAAGAAGAAGAAGAAGTTACTTAGAGCAACAGAAAACAAGAATTTGTGGAGAGCCATGATCATCCAGATCTTGAAGAGACAGAGCCCATAAAAGAAGAATCATAAGGGTGGCAAAACAAGGACAATGAAAGATGGTAAAGAGTCAAATGTTACTTAGAGCAACAAAAAAAGGAAGTTGTGGAGAGCCATGATCACCCAGGAGAATCGTAGTACATAAAAGAAGAAGCATATGGATGGTACAATCAGCACAAAGAAGGATGGTAAAGAATCAAAAGTTACTTTTAGCAACAAATGATAGGAAGTTGTGGAGAGCCATGATCACCTAGGTCCTGAAGAAACATAAAAGAAACTGTAGCATATGGATGACTGAGCAATGACAAAGAAGGGAAGGTAATGAGTCAAAAGTTACTTTGAGCAACAAAAAACAGGAAGTTGTGGAGAGCCATGATAAACCTGGCCCAAAACTTGGTATAAATATTTTTCTTTTTTTAGGTCAGATGAAAACCAGGTCAATCTGATGTTTTTTTTTTTTTTGTTTTGGATTTAGTATAAGATTCTGCTGTTGTCAAACAAACGAAATAAAGCTTGTTTTGAAAATACAAGATCAGCTAATCTCCACTGAACAAATAGAAGTTATTATTTATTCACTGTAAATTGCAACATACAAGTCGACCTCATTATCTTTAGCTCAAAATTTTGAGACCTATACTTACTGTATTGGTCAGCCTCAAAACATAGTAGGCTACCATTGGTCCAAAATTTAGGCCTACTGGTAAATAAAGTTAGGCTACAGTATACAATAACCTTTGCCAAAACTACATAATCTCACACCATTTACCTGTGTATTAAGACACTAAAAATAATATCTTTCTATACATTATATAGCAAACAACCTGCAACACACACTGGCAAGTATATTACTATAATACAATAAAATTAGTTTATGAAATTATAATGAAAATAACCAACAATTATTACAACTTAAGAAGCTTTAATAAACTAATTTTACAAGCTACTGTTAGTGACTTAAAATGTCTACTCTGTTTCTTTGTGTCATGCAGGGATTTTCTTTCTTTTTTTCCAGTTTATTTTGAAAGCCTTTTTCCCAGTTTCCCAGCACCTAATAGTGTCACAGTTTAAACATTTTTCCCATATTGACAGGTATGAGGCAATATCAACAGAATAATATGATAAAATTAGTTTATTAAATTATAATGAAAATAACCAACAATTATTACTAGTTAAGAAGCTTTAATAAACTAATTTTACAGGCTACTGTTAGTGACTTTGTTTCCTCGGGACCTGCAGGGAGTTTGTTGTAGTGCAGGAGAGTTCCTTAAAGCTCAATAACCTTCATTCACCAGAGAGTTCCTCAAGGGCTATCAATTGTCAATATTATGACAATTACAATGGCTGATGCTAACCTCTAGAAGAGTAGCTCATTGTATCTTAGCAGTATCATGTTTTCCACTGTTATGATTTGGTTCTACAGAAGGATGCTGAGAATACCATGGACTGTTTCCTCATGGTATGCAGGGAGTGTATCATAGTCCAGAGTTCCTTAAGCACCAATAACCTTCATTCACCAGAGAATTCATCAAGGGCTATCAATTATTATTACTATTACAATGGCTGATGCTAACCTCCAGAACAACAGCTCATTGCATTTTATTGGCCTCATGTTTACCACTGTAAAAAGATTATATTGAATCAATTGCTAAGTCTGCTGCTAGGAAAGTTGTTTCACTGTGTTGCACTAGACAATTTTTCTCATGGGAGTTTATCTTACACATTTATTAATTTATCATTCATCCAGGTATTGAATATTCCTGTTATATGTCTTGAGATTCTCAACAAAATCCAAAGAACAGTCTGTAAAGTTATTAGTCCTGACCTGGCAGCTTGATTTCATTTTCCCACTGCTGTGATGTGGTTTCTCTCTGACTTTTCTATAAATATTTTCATGACAATTTTTCTAATAAGCTTTCCTCCTTGGTACTTCAAATGCATAAATTTAAGCATACTATTAGATTTAAAATTCATCAGGTCGACTGATAAACATACTAGAGTCAACATCAACTGTTATAAAATATTAATACAGTAAATATCATAACAGGTAGTTTTCTGATATTGTAAAACACATTATCGCTCATCCGCCATTTGTATCAGTGCTGTAAACAAAGAAACATTGCACAGTAATTATGCTTTTATGATATGTGTATATTTAATAAACTGCCATTATGTGTCATTGAATTGTCATTAGTATCATGAAAATGCACTAATGACAAGCATACCATACCTAGTTGTCTGAATAGCAACCTGCGTTAAACGGTACTTCGGTCAGTGTCTGTACTTAGTGCATCAGCTGTTGGATGCGATGTGCACTATTATAAAAAAAAAATAGGGAAAATAAAATATAAAAATAAATCAACTTTATTAAAATAAAAGCAAATTTTACTAAATATTAGGCATTGTAATTTTGGCTTTTATCTGACTTTTCCATAGATATTTTCATCATAATTGTTCCAAAAAGCTTTCCTACTTGGTACTTCAAATGCCTGAATTTAAGTGCAGTACTAGATTAGCAACTTGGTCTCATTGTTTTACTATTGAAATAGTTCGACACAACCATTAATTCTACTAAGAATTTTTTGTGGCACTTCTTGTCTGTGGATCTTCTTATTTCTTTGCCACATACGTTCTTCAATAATCTAAATACAACATCAATTGTCATCTCACCTCTTTAATATTGTTTTTTTTGTCCTTTCTCCTCATTAATGTCTTCTCATTCTCTTTCATTACCAGTAACTTCTTGTATCTTAGTAGCATTATTGCCTTTCTTGGGGTGAAATGATTAACAAAAATCCTATTCGCCATGTTTTAAAATTCTCTTAACACACGGTCTCCTTTGCACTTCTCGTTTGTGGAACTTTCTTCTAGCTTCTTGGTTTCCAGTCAACTTTGATCTTCAAAAATGTAAATGCAATGTCAATCATTGTTCTTTCATTGTTCTTTCTCCTTAATGTTTTCTTTCTTATATACTCTCAATCTCAGTAAACCCTTACATCTTAGTGGCTTTATTACCTAGCTTAGAGTGAAAAGACTTTTTTAAAATTTTCCTTTTAATATTTTCTTTTTCTGTTCCCACTTTTTCTTCTTCATGTTTGGCTTTTCTTCTTTCTTCCTTCTCCTTCATGTTTTGCTTTTCTCCTCTATTCTTTCTACCCCATGTTTGTCTTCATTCTCCTCCACCATGCTTTCTTCTCCTTTTCTTCCATGTTTTTCTCCTCTTCTCTCTTCCTTCTCCTCCATGTTTTGCTTTTCTCCTCTATTCTTTCTACCCCATGTTTTTCTTCATTCTCCTCCACCATACTTTCTTTTATATCCTTGTTCTTCTTGTCATCCATGATTTTCTTTCCTCCTCTTTTCCTTCTCTTTCATATTTTACTTTATTCTTCTACACTTTCTCCTCCATGTTTTCTTCATCTCCTCCAGCATGTTTTCTTTTAAATCCATTTTCTCCTTTTCCTCCATGTTTTCCTCTTCTTCTCTTCCTTCTCCTTCATGTTTTGCTTTTCTCCTTCATGTTTTTCTTCATTCTCCTCCACCATACTTCTTCTCCTTTTCTTCCATCATATTTTCTTTTCCTTTATCTCCGTGTTTTTCATTTCTCCTATCTTCCTACACTTTCATGTTTTTCTTTACTCTTTTCTCCCCCATTGTTTTTTTCTTCATTCTCCTCCAGCATGCTTTCTTTTAAATCCTTTTTCTTCTTTTCCTCCATGATTTTCTTTTCTCCTCTTTTCCTTTTCCTTCATGTTTTGCTTTTCTTCTCTACTCTTTCTCTCTGTTTTTCTTCATTTTCCTCCACCATGCTTTCTTTTAAATCCGTTCTTTTTGATAAATAGATAGATAGATAGATAGATAGATAGATAGATAGATAGATAGATAGATAGATAGATATGAATGTACTGCCACAGATAGAGATAGATAGATAGATAGATAGATAGATAGATAGATAGATAGATATGAACAGACTGAGATAGATAGATAGATAGATAGATAGATAGATAGATAGATAGATAGATAGATAGATACTCATTATCCAAAACAGGTGAAGTTGGAAGGTTTGGCTCCTCATGAAATTAATAAAAAAAAACTTCTTTATTTTTTCATTTTTTTTTCTACTGATTATAATCCTTGTATTTTTGTTGCTTCAGACTAATTTCCTTCTTTTTTTTCCGTCACAGTATTTCAGTCTCTGTACATTCCAATCTACCAAAAGTGTCACCAAAATATAACAGAAGGCTGGAATGAAGAATGACCCAAAAAAATTGGAAATATCAAAAATACAAAGTCCAGGAAATTAGTCTGGTCGATCCAATTTAAATAATTAAAACACCTCATAAAAACAAATTCCGACATAAATTGATTCTAATACATTGTCCCTGCTCGTATACATACACATATGTAAACTTTGCTTATTGGTATAGACAATATATTTAGTTGATATACGTGTTTGAGTAGAGGTCTTTTTTTTTTTAAACAGTAAAAAAAGACACTGTATAGTCGAAAGTGATTTAGACTAACACAGTCACAAAAGACTTCATGCCAAAGAAAGTTTGAATTATTCTTCAGAAGGAAAAAACAGGTTACATTAAGATCTGTCAAAGCCTGTATGGTAATAAAATAAGCACATCCCATCTCCCCTCTTGCTTGTAACCATCCACTATTAATAGTCAAATAAAGCTTCATAATTTCTACTTAGAGTTTTTGCAATATTACAGCCCCTATCTGCTGTTTTTATTTTCATATTTGAAACAAAGTAATTTTTTAAGGATATATTGTTTTTTATCAACAATTCAACATTATTTTGTATTAATATATCCAGGTCTTTTGAATAGGAGTAGTGGTTTAACCCTTGTTTCTTGTTTAGGATTGGCTTCTAAAGTCTAATTCAACTCTATACTTCTAACGTCTCCATTGTCTCGATCACAATCCTTCCTGTTCTTTTGAAAAGTAGTAGTAGTATATCCCTTGTTTCCTGTACAGAAGTGGGTTTCCAATTGTAATTTGGTTTACTAATTCTATTATCTTCTTAATAGGAGTAAACATACCTCCTACTCTTTTGGACAGGTGTGGTGGTGTATCCCTGGTTCTCTGTTTAGCATTGGATTTCCAAAGTTCTTTCTGAAGTCATCTTCAACTCTATACTTCTAACGTTTCTGCCTAAAATCTGAAATTTTATTTACCATATTTTTCTTCTGAAAAGGAGTAGATAGGTTTGCCTATTACACTCCTCCTTGGTCTTTGGAACAAGTTGTTTGAATAGTAGATGTTTATCCTTTGTTCCTTGTGTAGGATTGGGTTTCTGCTTCCTTCTAAAATCTTTTCATTCTCTTTCACTCTAAGTAGCATCTTTGTGCCATAGGGGCATTATCACCTTGGAATGAATTAATATATTTATAAATAGAAGTACAAAAATCGTTAATTTGATTTTAACATGAGTATAGGTATATGCCTTGTTTCCTGTATAGGATTGGGTTTCCAGGTCCTTCTGAAGTCTACTTCAACTGTATACTTCTAACGTCGCTGCTGAATCACTGAAATTTTATTTATTATTTAATTTTTCCTCAATAGTGTTTGAAAGATTCACCTATCGTATGCTTCACACTACTCTCCAGTCTCTTGAAAGGTAGTAGTGGTTTATCCCTTGTTTTCTGTATAGGATTGGGTTTCCGGTTCCTTCTGAAGTCAACTCTGAAAATTCAATTTACTAATTGTATTTTCTTCACAATAGGAGTAAACACAGCTCCATACACTTTTGAATAGAAGTCATGGTTTATACCTTGTTTCCGGTTTAGAAGTGCATTTTCTGTTCCGTTTGAAGTCTTCATATTCTCTTTTACTCCCTGTAGCCCTTTTGAGTCTTAGTGGCATTATTGCCTTGCTTGGGGTGAATTGATTAAAAAGAAACCAAAATATCAGCAATCTTGGACTAATTATATTCAGCACATTTTAAAACAATAAACATTGCTGAGGAGTGAAGGTAGTTAAAATAATAGTGGTGTCAAGGGAAAAACCATCTTTTTGACACTCTTTTGAGATATTTTTGTTCTTAAACAGTATATTTCCATCTACCAACCTGGGATATTCGAGATATAGGAAATATTTAGCAGGATTCTAATTTTCATTCCACTTATGGGAAACTTTTAGGATATGAGTGATTGCACAATTATTTAGTGTTGATGATTCTGATAGGGCATTCTTCAACAACGAGGTAGAAGTGTGAGCGTGGATGAGATTAAGAAAAAGGAGGAACTTTTACGAGCCAAATTAATATTTGTCTTAAAGGTTTCACACCCATGTGTCAGTTTTTTTTTTGGGGGGGTAATCAAGTTCATCCCATGCAAGGCAGCAAAGCCAGTGAGATACAAGGGTTTACTGGGTGTGAAATACTTAGAAAAAAAAACATTACTAAAAAGTGAGAAGAAAAGCAGAATAATCAGGAAGACAGTAGATAGCAATTAACATTGCATTAAAATTTTTGAACATTAAAGTTGGCTGAAAAATGTGGCACCAAGCGAGTAGTGTGAGAAAAGAAACTGTTAGCATATGATTTACAGTTACATCTAGCCAGTTCAAACATAAATTGGTTAAACCTCAGTATCTGTTTATATTTCTGAGATGAGGTATTATGTACATTATTTACATTATTTGGACTATTGTCCTCATCTTTGTCGCCATATTTATTACAACATTTCGCCCCTTCAGTATCTGTCTATATTTCTGAGATGAAGTATTATGTACACTATTTACATTATTCGGACTATTGTCTTCATCTTTGTCGTTAAATTTATTACAACGTTTCGCCCCTTCAGTATCTGTCTATATTTCTGAGATGAAGTATTATGTACACTATTTACATTATTCAAACTATTGTCCTCATCTTTGTCGCCATATTTTTCACAACGTTTCACCCCTTCAGAATCTATCTATATTTCTGAGATGAGGTATTATGTACACTATTTACATTATTTGGACTATTGTCCTCATCTTTGTCGCCATATTTTTCACAACGTTTCACCCCTTCAGTATCTGTCTATATTTCTGAGATGAGGTATTATGTACACTATTTACATTATTTGGACTATTGTCCTCATCTTTGTCGCCATATTTTTCACAATGTTTCACCCCTTCAGTATCTGTCTATATTTCTGAGATGAAGTATTATGTACACTATTTACACTATTCGGACTATTGTCCTCATCTTTGTCGCCAAATTTATTACAACGTTTCGCCCCTTCAGTATCTGTCTATATTTTTGTGACAAGGTATTACGTACACTATTTACATTATTCGGACTATTGTCTTCATCTTTGTCGCCATATTTATTACAACGTTTTGGCCATTGTACACTCTGACCTTCTTCAGAGGGTTGGAATGTCGAACTGAAACCTTTATTTTGCTCAATGGGGTAGACTTGTTTTAATGGATGTCAATTATCAGTTATCTCCTGTTATTTCCCCTCTCCAAGTTCTCCACTACCTTAACCGGGTATTGAACTCACACTGTTTGCGTCCTGTCACTGGATCTAACCAATGCCTTTATCCACTGTGCCATGTGTCCTTGGCCACAAAGATGAGGACAATAGTCCGAATAATGTAAATAGTGGTTAGATCTCATCGCCAATCTAGTACTGCATTAATTCAGAGTCTGGGCACAATAGCAAAGAGAGCTCATCTGAACAATTACCATGAAAGTATTTATAGAAAAGGCACAGAGAGGCAATCTTACAGCAGTGGGAAAGAGACTGAAGCTGAGCTGCCAGAACAGGTCCAATAATATTGCTGATTCTTCTTTGGACTTTATAAAGCAGCTCAAGATAAATAGAAGGAGCACCAGACCATATTTGGCAGCTATATTCTAATCATGGATGAATGGTAGATTTATAAATATGCAATATAGTATCTGGAAAGAAAAATTGCCTCACACAACACAGTGAACTGACTTTTGTAGCAGCTGACTTAGCAATGGATTTACGTTGTCTACGTGGCATCTGTTTTGTTTTAGCAATCATCACAGCAACAGCTTTGTTCATGGATTACTTACCAGGTGCTTAGTAAAGATATTTAAAATGTCAAAATGTTGTGCATGTATGTAATTTTTGTAAGTAGTAATCATGTTTTTCTGTACATGTATAGAAAGTACAAAACATTATTTTTCCGTGAAAACTTAATTTCACCACTGAAAAATCCTTGTGAGCATTACATTACTAGCATCATTACCCATATCTGTATATACACAAAATTTATTAAATTTTATATAAACCTACTTTCAGGGTATATGTTATTTAAATAAAACTACCTTCAGGTGATATCTGAAAATATCTGAAAACCGAAGCAGAAGGTTCCCAAGAATTTTGGATAAAGGATTCTAACCTGTAGTAGAATTACCAACAATACCTATTTATAGGAGAATTAGTAACAATGCATTTTATAGCAGAATTGCCAACAATACATTTTATCTGTAGTTGAAGCCATAAGATGGTGTTTAGATAATAAATAGATGTCAGCATTAAAATAACCCATAGAAGTTGATATGCCACTAAACAAAATCAACCAACCAATCTAAGTAACTTATCTCTTTAAAATACCTCTTTCTCCTTGTTCTGACATCTCCATGCTTCTTATTTTATGGTTCATGTCTCTTCAGAACCTGGGTGATCATGGCTCTCCACGACTTCCAAAATTTTGCTGTTCTAACTAACTTTTGACATTTTACCA